CATTGTAAATTTGAATAACATTTCTCTTGAAGAAAAGTGTAATGAATTGAATCTCAATATAGCTTTTAATTTTTAAAAACAAAAATTCTTCTTTAAAATGAATTTTACAAGATTGAATTTAAAGAATATGTTTTTAAAACATTTATCGTAACTCGGATTTTGTTATTGGCTCGGTTTGAAAATAAAACAGCCGTAATTATTAATTAAATTTACTTATTTAATAATATGAACGAGCTCAAAATTAGAGAAGATGAAATTGTTCAAATCATTTAACTGCACTAGTTACGAGACTACGAATTTAGATAGTTTCTTTGGATCCGTTTATTCAGCATGAAATATGTGCAAGAAATTTTTTTAAATTTTTTTTCTATAGGTTGAAAAACCAAAAAATTATAAGAAAATTTATTTAAATATCAATATTACCCTTATTAGAGAGATTTATATTCTATAAATAATGACCAACGAGGGTGGAAACATAAATAAAGTGAAAAATTAGATATGTCTATTCAATTTTTCTGAGAAAAAAANTAAAATTTTTTTTCTATAGGTTGAAAAGCCGAAAAATTATAAGAAAATTTGTTTAAATATCAATATTACCCTTATTAGAGAGATTTATATTCTATAAATAATGACCAACGAGGGTGGAAACATAAATAAAGTGAAAAATTAGATATGTCTATTCAATTTTTCTGAGAAAAAAATTATTTCTTTGCACAATTTGTAGGAAATAAGAACCGCGTGGTATTAGAAAATTTTGTGGGCCCAAAAGTTTAGTTTCTAAGAGTTTTTAGCATTATCATGTTAAACAAACAGTAAAAAATCAGTATTTTTTTTTCTGTTTTTCGTATTTTCTATCAATCTTTTGCTAATCAAACGAAACCTTGTAGAAAGAAAATAAATGGAACAAACCAATTACTTTTGTGACAGAAAATTTCCTAGTAGTGGCCCANCATGCTATTAGAAAATTTTGTGGGCCCAAAAGTTTAGTTTCTAAGAGTTTTTAGCATTATCATGTTAAACAAACAGTAAAAATTCAGTATTTTTTTTTCTGTTTTTCGTATTTTCTATCAATCTTTTGCTAATCAAACGAAACCTTGTAGAAAGAAAATAAATGGAACAAACCAATTACTTTTGTGACAGAAAATTTCCTAGTAGTGGCCCAAACTGGCAAAACCATGTTAGTATCTTTAGGTGTGCAACTTGGGTGGAGCCTAACTTTGGATTCAAGCCGAACTCAACCAGAAAAAATCCTCTTTTTTTTTTTTCTTGGGTTAGGTTTAAACAAAAAAATTTAACTCCAAATTAAATNGCCGAACTCAACCAGAAAAAATCCTTTTTTTTTTTTCTTGGGTTAGGTTTAAACAAAAAAATTTAACTCCAAATTAAATTTAGAAAAAAAAGAGGGTGAAATTTAGGGTTGATTAGAGTCAATCGGAAGTCAAATTGAATTTGTAATTTTGTGTTCAACCCAAATTACAATGCAATTTATTATCAANATTTAGAAAAAAAAGAGGGTGAAATTTAGGGTTGATTAGAGTCAATCGGAAGTCAAATTGAATTTGTAATTTTGTGTTCAACCCAAATTACAATGCAATTTATTATCAAAAAAAAGGCAAAATAATTTAGATATCTAATATATATTATACTTATAAAACATACAATTCAACCACTCCGCTCGAGTTATACTCTTGATTATATAATAGGCAACTAAAAGTATATGACTAAATTATACGTGATAAACAAGATTTAAATTTCAAATGAATACAACTGAAATTAAAAATATTATCCCATTAATATCACATTATTTGATCTTAATTATTAATTTTATTTTTTATCCAAATTAGGATTAGTCGTTATTTAATTCCTAGAAGACCTTGCACCGAAAAAAGAAAAATTCCTACGAGACCAGCCCGTCTTCTTACGTGAAGAACTAAACATTTTCCAAGTCAAAAAGTCAAATTCTATTGTGTATAAATTTAGGGGAATTTCACATTGGTAAAATTTTTCACTTTATATCTTCAAAAATATTTTTTTTTATATTGTAGCATCAATGTATTAAAAATGTTATAATGTAATCTTTCCGTTTTCATGGAGCCTCAACGATCCCAATAGCGATACGTGACGAATCGGGTCAAATTGAGGAGCTTGTTGTGGAGATAAGTCTCTTGTTTGTGAATCGAATGTCTCACTTGACGGCTCCAAACGCAGTTAAGTCCCAGAACCACTGAACCAGTCACAGAGCTCTCAACCGAATTGTTTAGGTTTTAAAATTCCACCTCTACTCTAGTTGAGGTTTTAGTTCGAAGGTTATATGTATTGCAGGTTCATCTATCTTGACCAGTTCACGTTCAAGGGATGGTAATCAAGAGAACTCAGACTTTAGATCTCTTCTCTATGGTAAGGGTTTCTTTTGTATCAAGAGTATCCTTCCATTACTTATTCCGTCAAAGTCCACTTTATTGAAATTGACAAAATGAGTAACAAAAATTAATAAAAATGCTACATTATAACATTTAATGTATTGATAATGTAATATAAAAGATTTAATCTTTAAATGTAAGGTTCATCGCAAATTATACTCCGAAATATTGTTTAAATCTCAATTTGCACAATTAAAAATAGAAATTTGTATTATTGCACACCTGAAATTAACAACTATGAGTTTTCGGTTTAAAACTAAATAGATAAATTATACCTAGATCTCTTATATTTTTCACTTAATCATTTGGACTCCCTCACATATAGAATATTACTCTTACATCTTCTGACGTTTGTACACGTGTAACACATAACCTTTTATCGTTGATATCTGTTAATATAATCGTTAAAAAATATGATTTCATCATAATAAAAATGATAATTTTTATACTACATTTTATTTTGTGGACCCGTTATACTCTAAAGTTCAAAATTAAACTTACTATTTAAATGTCTAATATAATGCAGTTATTTATATAATGTTTTTATGTCTAATGCAATATATCACTCATATAAAATTATTTGGATACCTCGTTAGGGGAACATTTTTAGTCTTATTTGAATTCTAAAGGGATATAAGTGTAATATTTTAAATATGAGCGATCTATGTAATTAAGTAACAAGTATGATGTGGTCTAAGTGTAATTTATCTATTTAGTTTTAGACGATGAATTGACGGTTGTTAGCTTGAAGTATCCATTGATATAAATTTATATTTTTTAGTGTATAGATTAAGATTTTTTATCTTTAAAAGTATAAATTAAAATTTAAACAATCTTTCAGGGTATCATTTGAAATTAATCCTTGAATAGATAAAATAAAAAATTTAAAATCGTCCTAAATTTAGCTAGTCGCAACTGGCTCTCAACAATTTTTTCGTTGATCGCCTGTTTCTCTGTCCCTCCGTCCGTTCATTGCATAGATACTCTCCGAATTAACCGTCTACCAGAAAGGATGGTCCTCTCTGTGTCACCCTCTTCAATTACGTAGAATATTTTTTTCTTGTTTGTTCTCCATGAGTTTTTAGTGTCTCTTCTTGAATGTTCATATAGTTTTGTGGGTGGTGGTCAGAGACCTTGCACTTGCAGAGTTCATCCATGGCGGACGAACGGTTGCCCTTGGATGAGCTACTGCCAGACCAACCAAATCGATTCTGTAGCCGTGATTTTCAAATTCATTCCCATGGCGTTTGGGATCAAACTGAAGCCAGAGGCTTTCTTAAGTTTGCTTTACCTCGTCTTCAATTACAATTGGCGATCATGTTCCTCCTCACTCAATCTCTCCATACATTGCTCAAGCATTGCTATTTGCCTCGCATTGTCTCTGAGATCCTGGTAATCTCTCTCTTACATGTAAATTTTCATGTGTTTTTGAGTTTCTTTTTGTTTTGATCTTTGTGGGTTCATCCAATTCCAATGTATGTGATGTAAATATCAGGGTTGTTCATCACAACGTGTTTGACGCAAGATACGACCGAAATTTAGGCAGCAAAATTATATACAGGTTTTGAAACTTATTGAGGATATTATTTTACTTATTGTGTGGCTTTTTATTTTCTTGCAAAGATCTCACAATGGGTCTGTGTCTTGTTTAAATCATATTGTGTCAAAATTTCTTCAACCTGCTCGTGTCGTGTCAGCTTCGCGTTTGGTATAATTTATTTTTAACAGATTTGTGTTGTGTTTAGTCGGGTTTATATCGATTTTTTTATTTGACGAGTGTAACGAGTTTATTTATTTATTATTGGAACCATTAAAAGACTCGATACAAACCCATAATTTTGTGTTGATTTCATATGGGGTTTTGTCTATAATTGATAGGCATATCCAGCACTGATATGGGGAGAAGGGGGCAAACCTATTCAAATAAGGAGTGAAAAATTTCATATACTTAGAGGAGCTTATCATGATATGTTATACAGAGTGTTTCTTAGCTTCTTGACACGATGTTGGCGCATGAGTTGTGCACTTGTGCTTTCTTCTTACAGATTTTGTTCTTTCTTTCTTTTTCTCTTGTTTTATGGGAGTAATTGTACCTACAGATTGAAGCATGTCAGGAAAAGAAAAAAAAAAAAGCCATAAGAATGCTTGTGTTTTTAAAAAACTGAACCGTTCTAGCCATTTTCTGTGAACCAGGCTGGTGTGATATTAGGACCAAGTATTCTGGGGAGCATCCCAAATTTTACAGAAACCTTTTTCCCTGTCCAAGGAGAAGCATTTCTCGAGTTGTTAGGGAAGATTGGCTTCATGTTCTTTATGTTCCTGATTGGAGTGAAGATGGATGCAAGCATGGTAAGAAAAGTTGGAATTAAGGCCTGGATTATTGGGGCTGCGGCAGTAGTAATTCCAGTATGTGTTGGTTCGGGCTCGTTGATTCGTGTCTTACACACTACTAATCTGCACAGTTATAGATGGCCAGCTGTTAAAAATGTCTTGGCGATACAAACTTTGATCCCATTTCCTGTCATCGCATCCCTCCTCATCGACCTGAAAATCATGAACACTGAGCTTGGCCGCCTTGCATTGGCAACAACTTTGATCAGCGATTTTCTTAGTACAATATGCAATGCCGCCATTGGTATATATAGGATCGGGTGGGCAGCCTATTTACAGTCGTTATGGATTACATCCTTTGTTCTGTGTACTGGTGTGGTTTTAGTAATCGTGTTCACCATGCGCCCTGTATTTGTATGGATCATCAGACGGACACCTGAAGGGAAGCCAGTGAAAGGAACTTATATCGCTTTCATAGCTTTAGCAGTTCTGGTCTCGGCCATTATGACTGACAATGTGGGGTTTCGCTACCATATAGGTCCTTTCATACTTGGCTTGTGTGTGCCAGATGGACCGCCTTTGGGTTCAACACTAGTTGAGAGATTGGAATCTGTAATCTCGGGGTTGTTTGCACCAGTTTTGTTGACATTCTGTGGACTGAAATTAAATTTGTATGTGCTTTATGATCTCGACTTTGTGGGTTATATGTCAGCGGTCATATCTATATGTGTCGTGATGAAGTTCATGGCAATTTTTTTGCCGGCTTTGCTTGGAAAAGTGCCTCTCAGAGATGCAGCTGCTCTTTCTCTTATCATGAGTGCCCAAGGCATCGTCGAACTAGCTATCTATTTGACTTTCTTCGTAAATCAGGTACTTGACAATCCCTAAGTTTCACTTTCTTATAGTACGAATGGGCATGTTATAAAGTGTTAAATCTCTCTCTCTCAACTTGAAGCACAGACTATAGACGAGGACACCTTTTCTGTGGTGACACTATCAGTATTGATAGTAGCTGCGATCACATCGGTTCTGGTGAGACTCATCTATGATTATTCGAGGAAATATTCCGGCTATCAGAAAATAAACATTCTCCATGCTCCATATGATGCTGAGCTGCGAATACTTACATGCTCCCATCGACAAGACGATGCATTTGCTGCTATAAAGCTACTTGAAGCATCGTATCCTAGCAGAGAGAGTCCAATTGCAGCCTATGCACTCAATCTGGTGGAGCTTGTTGGCCGATCCTCACCACTATTAATCAACCATGAGCTAGGCCAAAAATCTTCCACGGGTGGCTCTCGTTCACAGCCGATGATTGAAGCTTTTCATCAATTCGAACAGCAATATGCAGAATTAGTCAATGTCCAAGTCTTCACCGCAATCTCACTACCCAAGTTCATGCATCAAGACATTTGTTCACTCGCTTTTAGCAAGATGTCATCCCTAATAATACTTCCATTTCACAAGAAATGGAATCACCAAGGCAAAATGGTTTTCGACAGCAATGTTTTGAGGACATTAAACCGTCAAGTGTTGGACCTGGCTCCTTGTTCTGTAGGCATTCTTATTGATCGTCGCAAAATACGAGCTGAATCATCTACGTTACCCCTGCAATCAGTTTATCAGGTGGCTGTAGTTTTTCTTGGCGGCGATGATGATCGCGAAGCATTGGCTTATGGAAAACGAATGGCGAAATCACCAGCAGCTCACTTGACAGTTATCAGGCTCATTGCACAGGATGACATGGGTGAGAAGCAATGGGACACAGTGCTTGACACAGAACTTCTGAAGGATATAAAACTTCAATCACCATTCCAGCGTAATGTAGAGTACCGAGAGGAAAAGGTGAAAGATGGGCCTGATACGGCTTTGATAATTCATGCAATGGAGGAAGCTTTTGACCTCATCGTCGTGGGAAGACGCCATAGAGAAGATTCACCACTGTTATCAGGCCTAGCAGAATGGAATGAGCTACCGGAGCTAGGGCCAGTCGGAGACATACTGGCTTCAGCAGATATCAAGAAACCAGTGTCTGTCCTGGTTGTACAACAACAAATCATGAAGAACAAGTGACAAGCTGGCTACTTCTTTTGGTTTATGTATTGCAAGTTGAGAATATATAGCTATTGAGTTCTATTAAGTTCCTTGCAAGTCTAGTACCAACCGCTTGTTAGCTCTTTTCTCATTTTGACATGGTGCTCACAAAACTTTCGAAAATCGCGAGGGGATTCGGGGACTTCTCAGGTTAGGTCGATCGTTGTCATCTATGTAAATGCCAATGCTTGATGCTTGATTCTTTCCTCCTCTGTCTCTCTCCACCCCACCCCCCACCCCCTAAAACACCAACCACCCAATTAAGAAGAAGAAGAAAAACACAATAAAATTTCCAAAAATGATTTCTCTAATGAATAATCAGCTCTAAAGCATCTCCAACCACGTTCAATAAAATAGCTACTCAAAANAAATTATATTTAATGCACCTTGATTCATGCGTTTTTTTTTAAAGAGTGATTTTATTTTCAAATTAATTTAATATCCGAATAGTGTAATAGTGTAACAAGTTATTTATACAAAATATTATACTATTACATTTTGTTAAACATATAGTTTCATATAATTTCATTCAAAATAGTACAATCTCCGTTTTAAATTTGTTACCACATGCATAAAACTATTGAATACTATTTTTGTTACAGTGTATTGTTACAATGTCTTTGTTACAATATATTTGTTATACTGTTTTTGTTACATTATTATGGAGTTCNTACCACATGCATAAAACTATTGAATACTATTTTTGTTACAGTGTATTGTTACAATGTCTTTGTTACAATATATTTGTTATACTGTTTTTGTTACATTATTATGGAGTTCAGATATTAACAAATTTTGAAATTCAAACAAGTGATATATTCTAAAATAAATGAAATATTAAAATTCTCCTATAAAACTAGTAGTAGTAAATATTTAATGCATAAATATAATTTAAAAATAAAACCACTTTCCAAAAAAAAAAACGTATGAATCAAGTTGCATTAAAAATAATTTAAAATTTAGATAAGGGATTTAACAACAAGTGTATATATATATATATAAAAACAAACACATATGAATCAAGGTGTATTAAAAATAAAAATTTTTAAATTAAATGACCTTAAAATAAGCATTTACATCTCAGGTGTGTATTTTTTTTCAAAATATTTTGTTCTATCTATTTTTTTTCAAATAAATCTAATTAGGTGTATCAACTTTCAAAGAACTCTATAATAAAGGTGTTTTTGGAGGTTGGTTCATAGCTATAGTCNGTATCAACTTTCAAAGAACTCTATAATAAAGGTGTTTTTGGAGGTTGGTTCATAGCTATAGTCTTTTTGGTCAATTAGTTTGGGTGCCTATTTTTTAGGTCATTAAGCACAAGTAGGTAAAAGAATATAATAAAGAAACCTAAAATAAATAAATATCCTAAAAATTCTCATCCATATCCTAAAAAATCTTATGCATATCTCTCATTTAAAATCTCTCTTTGATAGATTCTAAAAAAACTCACCCAGATTCTAAAAATTTCTACGTAAATCTCTCTCTCGGCCGATTACGTCTTAGGTTTTCTCTCCCACAGATCTCTCTCTCTTCACATAAATTTTTCTCTCACAAGTAGATATCTCTCTCACGTGTATACTATATGTATTTATAGATGTAAATATTCATTGTAGTCGAAGGTTGCTACGTATAAAATATTTATCTATATAATAAAGTAGTTAAATTTTTTTATCTTAAACTTTTCGTAGCTCAGATTGTTTAAAGATTATAAATCCAAATATCCTAATTAGACTTTCATTCATTTTAAAACTCTAAGACTCTTATCTCTAATATAATTCACTTTCTTTTTCTCTTTCTGTCTCATACACCCAACTCTCATATGAATATAATTCTCTTTATTCTTCACATACATTTTAAATATACACTCTCCTATCTCTCATTCTCTCTCTATATATATAAATGAGATAGAATGAAAATCTAATTAGAATCGTCAAGACAAATAATATTATCTCATACTTTCTCTCTTAGCATTATTTGTGTTGTCTTGATAATCATACTTAGATTTATTTACTCAAAACATTTGTATCTATATAATAAAATAGTTAGATGTATCTATCTTGCTCTTTTTGCGGCTCAGATCACTAGAAGATTATTGATCTGACAGGTCTAATTAAACTTTAATTTCGTTTAAAACTGTAAGACTCACATCTTTAATATAACTCTCTTTCTCTCTCTATCTCATATACTCAATTTTCATACGTATATAAAACTTTTTTTCTCTCCCTCATATACATTTTAAATACACACTCTCTCATCTCTTATATTTTCTATCTATATATGAGATAGAATGAAAGTCAAATTAGGATCTTCAAGACATATAATGTTATCTCATACTTTCTCTCTTAACATTATCTGTTTGTTTTGATGATCCTAATTGAACTTATTTACTCAAAAATTTTGTATGATTTTATAGATGAGAAAATATTTATATATTAAAAAAAAAATTCAGGTTGTAGATATTTAAAACCAAGTTAATCACCAATAAAAAATAACAAGTGATACCAATTGTACCAAAAAAATAAAAAAAAAAATTCAAAACCAAGCTAATTACTAATAAAAAAATAACAAGTGATATCAATTACACCAAAAAAACTAAAAAATTCAAATTCAAGCTAATTACCAATAAAAAAATATCAATGACGAATAAAAAAAAGTGAAACCAACTATCAATTTTTCCCCCTTATTTGCATCTCTTTTCCCTTACTAATGTTCATATTTTTTAAAGATTTGATTAGTTAGTTAAATCGAT